GTGGTGGGCTCTTTAAATGTTCCCTCCGGGAGCAGCGGACCAATCCTGTTAACTGGGTCCGCCAGGAAACGCAGTCGCGGTTGGAGGGTTCCGCGTGTCGGAAGCGGCCCGTTGTCATGACAACACCAGCTCCTCTTCCGGAGGAGGACGTTGGGGGGATCCTGCACCTGAGAAGCCAGTCCCCGGGGACTTCATGCCTCGGTCGGCTCCTCGGGACCCCAGGATGGCATGTAAGCCTTCGCCCCGCTGCCCTTCGGCGCCGCGGCCCCGCTCACGTGCCAGTCCCCCCCGCCTCCTCGGGCCGCCGCACCTGGGAGAGGAGCTGGGGGCCCCCTTTCCAGCGTTGCCCCGAAGCTGGAGGAAATGCAAGAAGGAGCCTTTGAAGGGGCAAAGGAATCAACTTGCCCGGCCCAGGGTGTTCATGAACCAGAAAGGGCTTGTACAAATGCTTGCTTTGCTTTCTCTTATTTGAACTTCGCAGCTGCCATATGTGGAGGGAGGCTAATTCCTTCCTGCCATCTGGATCCAGGGTTAATTCGCTTGGTGGGTCCAGGCCGGGCCCTTGACCCCCCAGTCTTTGGGAGGTGTTTTATGGTTATGTCACTTGAGACCGAAGAAAGCTGACATCTGGAGTATTGTGGGGAGAGGCCAGAGTGATCTTTGACAAAACAAAACAAAACAAAACAAAGCAACATCCTAAAGATGCAGTGATCCAGTCTTGGGCCCCTAAATTTGGTGTGGTCCCGGTGGCCAGCATCATCTGTTTTAAAGCTGTGACCACTATTTGTAGGATGGCCGAGGGCTGGAGGCTTGACCCTGTCCAGCTCCCAACCCTGGAGCTAAGCTGCCCCCAGGATCCTGTCCAGGGCCTTTTTTTACCCCCCAGAGGGGAGGGAATGAGTATTCTTAGACACAGCTTTATTGATTGGTATTTTTAAAAGCCAGGCCCAGAGTGGCCCGACCGCCGGTGTAACCGCATCTCTCTCTCCGCAGCGCTGGCCTGGATGCCCCCTTCGCCCGGCGTTTGGACGACCCTCGATTGTTTTTTGATGGCCGCAGCGGCCGCAGGGTGAGCGGGCCCCCGACGGACAGCGCTCGTCCGGCCAGGCCAGGATCGCTTCCTCCCTGCGCCACCTCGCTGGACTGGTGGGGCAGCTTTTCCCTCTGGGCCCTGGCCACGCGGGAAGGGAAGAGAAGATGCCACTGCCGTTCGGTCTGAAGCTGAAACGCACCCGGCGCTACACGGTGTCCAGCAAGAGCTGCCTGGTGGCCCGGATCCAGCTGCTCAACAACGAGTTCGTGGAGTTCACGCTGTCGGTGGAGAGCACTGGCCAGGAGAGCCTGGAGGCCGTGGCCCAGAGGCTGGAGCTGCGGGAGGTGAGCAGCACGGGGAGGCCTGGGGCCTGGCGCCTGTCATTCCCACTTACCCCTGTGCCCAGGTGGCTTCCAGCCCATGGGCCACTCCAGGCGTGTCCCTCCTGGTCATGGTACCAGTTGACTGTGCAAGTAAGTCTCTTCCCCACGAGCAAGGAATGGGCTCGAAGCAAGAGTTCTCCTGAGGATACCCCTTAAGAGGATAAACAGTGCCTGCGTTCTGGGGGGGGTGGTGGTGAAGAGGCCTGGCCACAGTGGGGTTAACTGGGGAGGGTGCTGACCACACTACACTGGGTGACACTAAAATAAACTATAAAGTTTTTGTACACAGTTTCACTAGAAGTGGATTCTTTTTGATAGACATATCCCTAGTGTTGATGATAACAACAGACATTTTTCATAAGCCTAGCTTATGTATGTCAGTATACCTCCCAGGCTACCTTTTTTGAAACTTACTTTTTGAACTTTGTAATGTGCTCTGGTCAAGGAGTCTTGGTGCGTAGTGCATAATGTGTTGGACTTCTAACAAAAAGGTCAGGAAGTGGAATCTCCCAGCTGGAAGACTGGCAGTGTCCTCCCCTAATGATTTAACTGCCCTGAAACCAGAGGGTATCGGAATTAACTTGAAGGCTTTAGATAGGTAATTGTGGTCGGTCAAAGCTGTCATTATTATGCAACGATGCTTTGAATCAGTGGGACTTTCCCCGCCCCTGCATGTATTGGGGGGAGGAGCAGCACAAGAGAGGAAAACCCACTATGAATTGGATTGATTGAGTAACTGTGGTTATTGGGGTGGGTGTTTTGGAGACTGAAATTGGCACAGGATAGAGCAGAGTTTAGGGCTGTTGTACATAGGGTCGCTGTGAGTCATAGGTGACTTGATGGCACATAACTACAACATGGTTATTTTGGTTGCTGTTTTTAAAAATTATTTATTTTTTAATTCAATATATCTTTTTTTTACAGCATATTCTTCCCGTTTAATCCCCCCCATTCATTCATTGTTGCCCATTTTCCTCCCTGCCCATCCTACTTATTTTTAAAAATGATTTTGAGGCTTTAGCTACAATATCCTTGTAACTGTATGTCATTAACTCTTTTGAAATTGATGTAGTGACTAAGGAAAAGGAGAAAAAATTTGGCTTCCTCTCACTTACTGGTAATGTTGTATTGAATGTGATTCAAGGGTTATATAAGACAGTTTTGTCAGTCCCTATGTAATCTAATAAATACTACACTGAAGCAGTGTATAACGATAGCACGTATTCTGTTATTACGATGGCTAATGAACGTTGTTGGGCAGGATTTCTTTCTGTTAATACTGGGGTGACTGTGAATCAGCGTAGACTTGCTGGCACCCGGCAACAGTGATAGTCTGTCTGGGAGGAGGTGACACTAAGAATTACCGCTCTGAGCGATGGGCAGCTGGAAGCCAGCTCTCGGAAGGATCACAGCTATTGAAAACTGTCGTTCTGTGTGGCATACCTGGCACTGCCATGATTCAGAATCTACTAGAAGTCTTCTGGTTTGGTGGTGGTTATTTTTTGCAGTTTTTCTTTTTAATAGCCTTTGAAAGTGCAAATTTGTTGCCCCCAAGTGTAATCCAGAATGAAATGCAGACGCATCACGGTTTGTCCAGCATTTCCTTTTCCAATATAAACCCCAAATGAGACATCCTAACCATTGTTTACTGACTTCTCATTAATTCAGCAAACATCCACTGACTTGTTTATCATAGGCTGCGCCGAGATTCTAGAGTCATGCTGCATGAATTTTGAATTCTGGTTTCTTCCCCAGCTGGCTGTATGACTTTTGGGTGGATTATTTGACCTCTCTGAGCACTAACTACCTCATCTGATACATGGGGACTAGAGTGGTGTCACACCCTTATAGATTGTATGATATTTAATGTGCATATGCAACCATATACTCTCCTAATTTTTCTCTTCCTGTAATCATGGATTGGCGCTGGGAAAAATCTTAAAATTTAGTCAGAATACAGTTAATTGTGAGGGCCTTGTGTAGCAAGATAATGTCTTTTTATTTCAACAAACAAACATACAAGTGGCTAAAATGCTTTATTAACTTTTTGGTGAAAGTTTACATAGAAAATTAGGTTCTCATTTAACAATTTATATATGTATTTTTCAGTGACATTGGATACAATTTGTCTGCATTACCTTTATTTCCATTCTGGTTGCTTTTTACCCCATTAAACTAGCTTCCCTGCCCCACCTTTTCTTCGCGTCTTTGGTTTGTTGTTTGTTATTGTTGTGTGCCAACAAGTCAGAACCGACCCATAACTGACCCTCCAGTAGATTTTTCAGGAGAGCTGATTACTCTAGTGGTAAGACCTTGTGCTGTCAAAGCAAATGCTCCCGGTTTGAATCCACCAGTTGGTCAGCAGGTGAAGGATGGTGGGCACTTTCCTCTCATGTGGTTTTACTGCCTCGGAGAGCACACTGGAGGGTTGCTTCTGAGAGCTGTAAACAACATCATCATCTTTGGTTTAGGGTGAATACTTAATCCTTTGGCTTTGTTAATGTGATTGTTTAGAAGAGCATAGTACTCATAGATGATTCCAGAAAATGTCTTCAATTTAGGATGCTAAAGGTAAGGGCTGTCGTTAAACTTCAGAGTCTCTTTGCCTTTACCTGCCTGGTTTCAGGCTAAGAATAAATGGAACAACAACTGTGTATTCTGCTAAAATGTCCATGTTATATTTCTAGTCTACCTGTGTACTTCATAAAAAGTCAGACGTCGATAAACTCTGTGGTGACCACAGTTGTATTATAGACCTCCATGTTCTAGGCACACACTTGGAGTTTACCACTCTGCTGATTCCTACAAGAAAACAGGCCTGACAGATGTTATGTTAGAGCAAGTAGATGAGTGAGAAAGCTGAGAGTTGGTGCCGCATAAGGTGGGGATTTTCTTAAAGGGTTTGGACTACAGAAGGTCACGGAGATGCCAATAAAGTGTTTTCAAACGACTCTCTGGTCTGTGGCCATACCACCCTGAACATGCCTAATCTCGTCCAGAATGAGGCTATGCTAGGATTGCTTTCCAAAGAAGAGCCCCCAGGGAGGATGATTAGAATCGTTCTGGTGAGTTGGTGACTGCTTTTGTTTGGATGCAGATGGAGAGAAGTGGGCGGAATCTGACCTATAGGCCTGTCTTAGCTCTGGGAGTGGAGTCCACTAGGGAATTGTGCTGCTGACCCAGAGGTGGCACCTTGCTGGTGGGTCGAGTCCTCCAGCAGCTCTGTGGGAGAAAGGTGGTCATCTCCCGTGCAATTTGTGGCCCCTGAAAACCCACTGGAAGGGCCACTCTGAGTGAGTTCCTCCCTGATGGCAGTGAGTGTGAGTTTTGAGTTCAGTTTCTTACGGCTGCTGTAATAATGAAAACTGAGTGGCTTAAAGCAATGAACACACTACTTCTCAGTTCCGGAGGATAGAAGTCCAAAATCAAGGACCTTAGCTGGGCTGCGCTCGTTGCAAACCTAGGGGAAGATCCTCCCTTGCTTGTTTTGGGTTTTTGAAGATTGTGATTTGAATGCACATCTACAAAACAAGTTGGTTTTCCATTCTGCGATCCATTCATGTTTTGTTTTATAACATTAATTACCATTCCTGTAGTGTAGCCCCCCATGCCCACACCACCCTGGGGTGCTCGTTTCCATGAATCTTCCTGCCTTCTGGGCTTTGTCCTTGAGCACACGCTGCTCTTTTGACCTTATCCTGTTGGCTGTGTGAAGGAGTGAGTGCCTCGCTGGTGTTATTGTTCACCTTCCAGGCCTGGGTTTGGTTTGGCTGAACCTTCCTTGCCTTTTCCAGCTTCTGGTAGCCCCAGGCATTCTTTGGCATGCCGCAGCTGAACTCCAACCTCTGCTTCTGTCCTCATATGGTCATATTCCATCTGTGTCTCTGTGTTGTTACTCGTCTCCCCGTTATATCGGTGATGTTGAGTTAGTACGCACCCTCTTCCGCTGTGGCTTTGTGTAGAGACCCCATTTCTAAATAATCACAGACACTAAGAGTTAGGACTTCAGGACATTTTTAAAAATTTTTTAAAATTTTTTCTTGTGTACTATCGGATCAGATCCAGCGGCACAGAAGGAGACTGTCCCTCCTTCTCCAGTGGAGCATCTGGTGGATTCAAACCGCATGCCTTCGGTATTACAGCACAGTTTCTTGCCACTAGGCTACCAGATTAGTACTTCTTTTGAGGGGCATAAAAGAACCCATAACAGCTACCTGTCTACTAAGTATTGGCAAAAAGAGTTAACAAGGGGTCCAGATAGAGAATTCCAGAACTACTGAGTTTGAGGTGCCAGTTGGAGGTGTTGAGAAGACTGATGGATTTTGTGAGTCTAGAGCTGGGATGAGAGATCCAGGCTCGGGGGAAGAGATTTGAAAGTCATCAGCGTAGGTCAGTAGCAGGGATGGAGCTCCCCGAGGGTAGAAAAGGAGACCCCAGCAGGCTCCTAGAGGAGCAGCTCAAGAAGGCAGCAAACCAGGAGCGTGGGCCTCAGATTCCCTCTGACTCCTTACATTTATTCCACTGTTCTCACTCACTCCTTTCAACTCTTTTCTTCTTTCCCCCTATTTTGGTTTTTTAATTTTTTTTAGCCTTTCTCATGCACCAGGTCTGCCCATATCTCCTAGAGAGTCTGTTTCTTGAGGAGCTATGATTTATTTGTTTTTGTACCCAGAGTACCAGGGCTGGAATGCACTCGGTAAATACAGGTTGAACTGATCCCACAGGCATTGCTTGGACTCTCTGTTAGCCAGGACGTCCAAAGACGTTACCATCTCTTGTTGGAAGTCAGAAGGCTCCAAGAACAGAATGGGTTCCTGTGGCTGAGAGCACATACGGGATTTTTCTTTTCTTTAAGCGGAAGAGTAGGGTGCTTTGAGAGAGGAGAGACACGGTTTGTAAGAAGTTCCAGTCCTTGGAGACTCTCTGAAATTTTCAACATTTAACAGCAGTCAGAAGCAGGA